CTTCGAGCACATTCGACCACTCAGGGTTGTTCTCCAACATCTTTAGAGATCGCTGTATGATGTTACTGGCGGCCGCTTTTTCGGCTTCCATCGTCCTGTTCATCGCTGCGTCGTCCACACTATTCGCTTGTGCCGCACTAATCGATGTCTCCAATTCACCGAAAGGATTATCAAGCTGCAGGGTAACACTCAAGTCGGGCACGTTGACCTGCAGGGATGTGACACGTTGCTCACCCAGACTGCGACGAATGAAAGTATACCATTCGACAGCACTAGCCGATGAGTGAGTTCGGAGAATGTACATCATCGTTCCTGCTCTCCATGGAACCCAGATCACCACCGTCTTATCGAGCGATGAGTAGAGATTCACGTGTGTGGTTTTACGAGCTAGCGGTATCTCGTGTGTTGAGCGCTTCTGTACGTGGGTCTCTTCTTTCGAGGGTATGACTCGCGTTTTATACAGCTGAATGGAGAATTCTGCATCATCCGTGGTGCTCTCTCTGCAGACAACCACGAATTCTCTCCACTTCTCAACTGTACGAGCTGACGTTTTCAAACTGTCGTTCTCATCGTAATCAGGCGGAAGCTCTTGCATAGTGGAATCTACCCGCACCAGCATCTTCTCCATCTTGACGATCTCTCCTGGGTGGGACCGGTCCTTTCGGAGTCGCTTCCATGCCCGCTGAGGACCAAATTTCCTTGAATCAAAAGTTGTCAGATTGTCTCTGCGTTCACCTTGATCGGCGAGGTCGAATCTGACCATGCCGCCTGCCGTTATTTGCTGTCCTTGCTCTCGACCAGCCCCACAACCTTGCGGCGGGTCTTTGGCTCCTATAACTGGAGATGTGCCACCAGAAGTGCCAGAGGGACCGTGAGGTATGAGTGCATCGGTCGAGTTGGGATTAGTGGCCTGGTTCACCATATCACCATTGCTTGACCTAGGAAACATGACGCTTCCAGGAGTCTCTGGAGACGACCCTGGCTGAGGTTGGGCAGAATCGAAAGTCTTGGTTGGCTTGTTGATCTCAATGTTTGTGACCTCTCCAATGGTTTTCCTTGGGGTCTGGTTCTCTTTCGCCGTCACGAAAGACGCAGCAGGCGGGCTTTTGAGTGGGCTTAGCGAAGGCATCATCGACTTGAAGGCTCTTCGCGGCCTTGTGGGGGCAGTGACGAAGGATGAGGTGCTAGACTTGTGTTTGGATTGGCTAGGGCTGAGTCTGTCCTTGAATGTCGGCCGCCGCTTCACTGGAGTATGAGGTTCCTCGTTGGGAGAATGCACTTCAGGACTGCCATGCCCGGTCTCTATGGCGGTAGATTGTGCTTCCAGCCGACTCATTCCATCTCCCCCCTCTTCGTGTTCGGTTTCTTGGTGCCCGTCTTCGCTTGGGTTGGTATTATCAGCCTCCTCTGGCTCCTCATCAACGTCCTCTGGCTGGGGGAAGCTGCGGCTAAACGTAGCGCTTGCCGACGGCCCATCAAGACCTGTAATTTGCCTCTGGTGGGATATGCCTGGCTTTGCTGAGAACGTTACAGCTCGCGAAGAGTAATCTGAAAGCAGGTATCGCGAGTACCACGATTTGCGGTGGCTCTTGAGCCATCCTTCCGGGATTGGGCCAATGAAGCAGCGGCGGGTTGTGAGGTGTACATGTTCGGCTGAGGCATGTCTCTGAGTTCTTAAGTCAGTGCGACTTCTACATTCTGTTGCCATCTCAGACGGTCACACATACCAAACGGAGAGCAGTATACGATCCAGGCTCCAAGTCATTACCAAGTGGGGTCTCAGGCTCCGTGGACTGGCTGGAAGTCATCTGCGCTGGAAAAGAACCCTCTCAAAAACTACCCCAAGCATCTCAAGCTTCCTCAAAAGGTAATACAAATACAAGAAATGAACATGTTCACATAGAATTCATGGAGCAGTTCCAAGCATCTCAACATTGATGCCAAGACCCATGACGCTTCGCCGACAGCCGCGCGCTTCTTGCCTGAGGCCAATCGTCCGACATCCGCCTCCGTATTGGATTACTTAATTATTGAACAATCAAAGTCCTTCACACTCAAATCATGGCTGTACCGCACAATGTACCTTTCCCGTCAGGCGGGACTTGGTTCGATACGCTCCATAAAACATTCGACGACGTCCCTGTCCAAGCCAATAACGACAATGCCATCCCCACCAGCGACTTCCTTGAAGCAGCGGAGTCCCTCACAACGCTTTTTGGTGAGCTAGCACCTCCTGAGCTACTTTCATTCCGTTGAAAAGTGCCAGGCTTACAAATGGGCAGATGTGCTAGGCTCAATGGCATTTACACCCGTCAAGAATGACATGATTGGCAATATCAAGGTCTCAACTCCTCTCCGCGCTGCACCCTCTCATCCCAGAGAATTTTCGACTGACTGGTACAAGAAAGTCCGCGACCGACAGCTAGCCACCCCCGCCGACTCAGAAACACTTCAATCTCTTGTCACCAATGAGCTCAAGACGAAGAAGCACACCGCAGCGGAAGGTCTGCTCTGGCTTGTCCGGTTCGTCCAATCTTTGTACCCTGAACCTAATAACGAGCCTCAACTGACAACGTACTCCAGCGCTCTCGATTTCACCTCGCAGGGTATTCGCAGCAACCTCCAAAATCCCTCCCACGAGCTCTCCGCCTCCTTCCGCACAGCTTACGGCAATACGCTGAAACCTCATCACTCCTTCATGGTGAAACCGATCTTTAGCGCAGCCATGTCAGCAACGCCGTATCGAAAGGACTTCTATGCCAAGTTGGGAGATGATCAGGCCAAGGTGGATGAGGCGGCGGGGAAGTGGTTAGAGGCGCTAGAGAAGCAGGTGTCAATACTTAAACAATTTCAGGCGAGAAAGGAGGCCAAATGGTAAAGTGTGCGACTAGGGCAATTGATGTGGGATCGAGTTGCTGCAGGGTCACGTACGTGCTATGTATGACTAGATTATAGACGATATGGACGCATAGATGAAAAACAACAGCGGCCAGTAGACGTCAGTTGGTACAATCGAATCGTCGAGAGCTGGATGAATACATCTAAGCTACCCATCAAGTCAGTTCACAGTATTGAGAAGAGGGTCATTCATCACGCTAGATTGAGCATCTCTTGGCATTGGCATTTGAACCGATGTTCCAACCTATCATTGATGCCCATCTCCATCAAGCGATAAGCGAGAATAAGTCCTTATCTCCGATGTCGCGCTCGGTTGCGCCACCCATGCACAATGACGGCGGACGACGACAAAACAAAAAAAAAAAAAAAAAAAAAAAATCTCTTTGCATTTTTCTTATTCGCAATTTCTAGTAACTCTCTTCAAAATATTCTTTTTAGAATTTTTCTCAACTCTTCGAGAGGTACTTTTTGAGGCACTCTTTAAGGGCTACTCTCCGGGGTACTCTCCCGGATACTCTCCGGGGTATTCTTCCGGGTACTCTTCGAGGTACTTTCTGGGGTACTCTCCCGGGTACTCTTCCGGGTACTTACGACGGATCATAAATGAAGTTCTTCGCAAAAAAAAATAAAAAATAAAAAAATTACGGGACTTTCCGCGGAACTTCCCGCCAATTTTTTTTTTTTTTCGAGTGATTTCTCATTTCTCGAGTAAATCTTTAAGAAACCCCTCGAGTAACCCTCCAAGTACTCTCTAAAATACCCTCCTCGAGTACCTCCAAAAGTATACCCTCGAATACTCTTCTAAATCCCCCTCAAGTATCCCCTAAAATATCCTCTAAAGTATCTCTCTAAGATATTTCAAATCGCGGGAAGAAAAAAAATATTAAAGAAAAAAAATTGGGTTTGGTTTTGTCGTAGCACCAGTAGTGTCAGCCGTCGTCCGCCGTCACAATGCACCATCCATGCAATAAGAGATCGCTGAGGCCCACCAAGCTCCTCCGAGGCGCGTGGGAGATATGCTGGCCACAGCCAAGGAGGTAAATTTTCCCTTCCACAAACACAGACGCTCCTCGATATCAACTATCTTCGGGCATCGCCGATAAAAGTAGGTGAAAATTTTTGACTCCTTGATTTGGCAATGTGCGTCTCTCATTAATCGGTATACCCTCTACTTGGCGAGAGACTAACGTTCAATGAGCGTGGGCATCGCGATAGTATTCATACCCACTGGACCCAACGTTTCAAAGACGATGCGACGATAGCTTATTATCTCAGGGCAGCTTTAATATAACGACCCCAAGGTTGCAATGGACCCATTTTCTGCCTTCGGCTTCGCCAGCAATATTTGCCAACTCTGAGACCTAGGCGGCAGATCAGTACCACGCGGCCTCGAAGTGTACAGATCCGCCGATGGCGCCTCATTTATCAAGAGCGAGTTGCCGTCCATCGCCGATGCCGTTGCAGGATTCTGTAGCGCGAAAGTTTTCTGCGGACTGGAGATCTCGTGCTGACGTCAGTCCAACGTTTTGTGTTGAACAGGGACACGGTGCTCAATGTTCGATCTGGTTCCGTGCAGAGGGATAGATGGGTTGGGAGGAGAAGACGTAGTGAAAGTATTGCGGGTTCAGAATTGACTGTGTTGAAAATGTCGATTTGACCTTGTGTCTGAAGCGGAAGAAGAGGAACGAATGTATTGAGAAAAGATGGGTTGAAAGAATAGTACGGAGTTCAAGAGTGGCGATGTTCAAAACCGACTGTGTTGGAAATTTCGACTTAACTTTTTGTTGAACGAGAAGATATTCGCCCCTCCTGTTCAGCTCTTCAACTTATAAGGAAGAAGGCGGTCGTCTCCTGGGTTTCAATGATGATGGAGACAAATCCAACGTGATCGTGTGGTGCTATAGTAATGAGTCTCAACGACCTCTGATCTAGATAAACTAGATAGAAGGGATATAAAGGATGATATGCAGAAAACTAAACCGTTCGATGTCCGTATCCCTCTTCAAATGTAACAGAATATGTAGATTACCGATCACAATGGGAAGGAATGAACGGATGACTACCTCTGAATCTCAGACGTCAAACCAACACGAGGTAAGTACTCATCGCGACCCAATCTCCAACTCCACACCCAAAGGACCCATCCCAGTCACCGCAGGCGATATTTTCGTCGGTACCGAGCCAACTTCCGTTGCTGTCAGTACAGCGTTGCCACCCAATGTTGCGCCAGCTACCGTCGCATTCAACGCAATGCCTTCCGCACCAAGGCCTCTTGGATTGAAAGGATTGATACCCTTGCCAGTGATCATATACTGATTCATGACATTTTCGAAAGGGGAGCCCGCTTCATAGATGTAGACGGAGACGTAAGGGTCTCTGAAGATGTCTTTTGGAAATTTAGATTCAAACGATGGAGGGCTTTTAGACGGGGGTATCCAGGGTAGATGGCATTGCAAAAGATTGTTGGCAGGAAATGTCGTCAAAAATTGAGTAGGGTAGGCAAGGAAGTGACACATACCACTCACGATCCATACACCCCCAGAATGCCGCCCTTCAACACAGTATTTGTCAACTCCAGTCGTGGCAGACTGCACTGTCCTCCAGTCCATGTTTATACTAGGCGACCGCACTCTCCCAGCAGCATCGGCGTGCATAAGCAATGCCAAGCGTGCCGATTCTGCCGTTAAGTACACAATGAGCCATGGATCAGCAATCCGTCCTTAAACGCGCGACGAAGTCCCGTTGAGGATAATCTCGTAGGAAAACCCACTGAAACGCCAAATCATCGGAAGCTGTACCATGTCTCGCGGCCAAGTATTCTTGAGTGCGCTGAACCGTGGCTGGAAGAATGCCGGCTCTGCAAAGATACGACCTGCGTCCATCTGGCCATCGGGATCGGTTCTGGCAAATGGTAACGCTTGAGCAACTGCGGTGCTGTCAGAAGCTGAAGGTCGCCCGTATAGGTTGGAGGAGCAGATCATCGAGGTGCTCTCTATGGTGATGGCCAGGAAAAAGGGTGTGAAGATTGCTAGCAGGAGAAGCATGGTGGCCGTGTGGGCAAATCATCTTCACTGCTGACTGGAAATTCATGATCTCCTCATATATGTCTAAAGCGCTTCTGTGGAGATCCTCGGCTCGCGCAAGTGTTGTGGTTTGGGGACACGCGTGGGGAGCAGATGACTCCGAGTAAAAGGTTGAAGCGATAGGCCTTCCGAGCTGCATGAATTGCCCGGCGTCCTTCAGGGTCCACGGCATCTCAGATCTGACTTCTGCGGCTACGAGACAGCGTAGATGATTAATCATTTCCAGCCTTGGCAGGAGAATGCGGTGAAGCGGCTATCGCATTTCCAGTTCAGCTCCCACCACTCTAGCGGCAATATCTGCGTGGTTTGCATGCTGGTGTAAGGTCACACTGTGTTGATGATGATTTACAGGACGTATTGAAGAGCGACGCCTGAGTGAGAGGAGGAAAAGACGGGTTGAAAGGAAGATACGAGGTTCAAGAGGGAGGATGTTCAAAACTGAAGGTGTTCTTTATGTTGAAAGATGAAAATTTCGAAGAGCGATGTTTATACACGAAGAAAAAAAAGACGGGTTGAACGAAGACCCCGAAAGTAGTCTCAGCTTTCATCTGACTCAGTCCATGGCAGTTTTCAAAACCCGAAATGCTTAACCCATTGACGAGATTCGTGACACTTGCGATACTCTACCTCACTCGAGACATTCCAAAGAGCACAAATGGTAACTAGTAGAGTCGAACCGAAGGCAAAATGCAGGTGCCTCGGCCAATATGTCGACGAAAACCCCAGCGAAGTATTTTATACCACATCCCCGTGAGGGGCGAACGTATATTTACCTTCCTGATACAGGTAGGTCTTCCTCGTATATACGGTCGAGAATGAGCGATCAACTCGATTGCCATGTAAGAGATAGCTCTTTCCACTGCATCAGAGCAAGCTCACTAGATGCTAATAAAGCCTGCACACACTCAACATTGCTGTATATTTCAATCTATCGCCGTTGTGACCGTCAACGTACTGCATACCTACCTACTCGATCCTCCCTAGAAACCCACAAAACGAGCAATGCTATTCAGCGACGAGAACCACTGACGAAGATTTGCCCATCACTTCTGCCGTAGTTGATATGGTTGATGACAGGAATACTTGGCGTTGGAAGTATTCGATGAGGAGAAAGGTCATTGTTGTCAGGAGTGGCTACTAGCTGAGGCCGACGATGTTTCCGCGGATGAGGAGTCACTGCATATTTGCATTGCACCAAGAAAGTCATCTTCTTGAGTATTCCTGTATGTGACTTGATCGCTTGTCAAACAGGCTCAACAATCGGGTCCGAGCTACCTTCGCTAACTATGCATGCGTGAAACTAGAAAAGTAAAGGACGTTTCTGGAAATTGTACACAAGAATAGAAGGCGATAAGTCGACTGCAATCCATACACCCAGTGCTTGCCTCACCTGGTCACGATGGATGCGATAGACGCCTGTCAAATTCGTTGCGCTGAAAAGTCGGGTTCCTACTCCTCTCCCAGACCCTCAACCTTCCTCAAAAACTCTCTCACTCTCGCCAAGTCCACATCTTCACCACCTTCACTCTCAACGGCAGTACGGAGGCCACCAATCAGTTGATCAAGCTGGCCCTCCTCAAGACTCAAGCACAAGCATACCAGCTTCCTCAGCTGCGTCTCCAACTCCGACGACTGATCCTGCAAGTTCTTCGCTTGGGCTTCAAGGCGAGCATTGTTCTTTTGGTAAGCCGTTGTTCGTGCCTTGAGAATGGCCGTCGGCGGTAAAGTGGCAAGGTAGTCACGCTGCTGTGGAAGAATCTGGAGAGGTTGGTTGTGGTCATGCGAGAGTGGAAGTATGGTAGTATCGATATCAAGGCCTGCATCCGCTTCCCCAACTTTGATGTCTGGCCTAATCTCTGCAGGCGAACTGGCGGATCTTCCATTAGCACTTGATGAGAGGTAAGCACGCTGTTGGTCGTTGGCACGGCGCAGGTTAGCAATACGTTGGCGAAGGGCTTTTCTGTCATCCGATCTGCGCTGAAGCTCCGCGAGGCGACGACGTTCTTCGTTCAATAAAGACGTAGTTTCGCGTAATTTGGTGTGGGTTTGATCAATGAGGGATTGTTTCGCCTGAATCTCGGATCGGAAGGAGGATTCGGTGTCGGACAGCAGGGTCGTTATCGCTATCATTCAAGTCAGTGTATTCAAGGCAAGGAAATATAAGGAAACACACATGCTAATAGTTCCTGACTACTCTCAGCAACTTTGCTGATAACGTGATGCCCTATTCTCGTTACTTGGCTGTTCTGGTGCGCGTCCAGCAAGTCTGGATCTCCTCCAACACCAAAATCTGTAGGCTTTAGACCGCCACGATTCGCTATGGTAGGATCGGCGCCAACTTCAAGCAACTGATGAATGATGTTCTTGTTACCAATTCGTGCAGCAAGGTTTAATGCGGTGTCGCCGGACATATCCAATGCATTGACGATTTCTGACATGAACCTCACAAGTGTTATCGTTTTGGGGGCAGGCATAACAAGGTCAGGGTTCTGAAAGGAATTCTGTTGGCTATTTGAAGCACTGCCTTGCCGGACGACGAACTCCAACAGTGATTCGAGATAGTATCGGCAAGCGGCGCTCTTTCCTTTAATAGCTGACGCCACAGCCATGTGATGCAACACAGTTCGGCCGTGGCCATCTCGGATCTCGATGGTAGGACCAAGCAGCTCAAGAAGGTCTGTGAAGCTACCTTGGTCGAGGTTGTTGGTGGTGAGGACGGCACGTATTAATGCAGTCTCGCCTCCTGTGTTCAACCGGTAGATACTTGCACCCTTTTCGATCAGCGCTCGGAGTAGTGATGTGCGGGCCAAAGTGGCAGCCCAATGCAAGGCTGTATGTGCGGTGGCGTCGATAGGAATATCGAGGTCTTCGCCTGATAGGCGAAGTAGTGCAGGATGGTTCGAAAAATCTGTTTGGTTTGGATCGAGGAACAAATTGGTCAGAATCTGTTGCTTTTCGATTGCGGATTTGCTTGTAGGTTGAGGTAAAGGTTGTAGTCCGTTGAGTCTGTAGTCAATGCTAGATTGAGCGTAGTCTTGACCATAAGCGAAAGACTCGTTGGCATCTGTAGGTGTCAGATCTCTCATCGAAGTATCGTAGTCGAGATTTTCGTCAATAGCGAAAGGATCCTGGCTGTTGGAGGGTCGTATGCGTTTTCGAGGTGGTTCATTCATGTCGCCATTCTGTGGTTCATGCATGTTCGAGTAGTAGGGTGTATTGTGCGCTCTTAGCGCAGGGTCGAGCTGACTGTTTCCAAAGCTGTTCTCAGAATGCAGACTTTGCATACTTTGCTGGCTGCTACCGGCATACGCAGAATCTTGGCTATTCCCCATTTGCTGCGATGGCCGTTGAATTGGTTTCACAGGTCTGCTCAGATTTGATGGTGATCCCATCCTGGCCTTGCTGATCGCGTTGACAGCATTTGCTGCTGACTTGGAAATGTTCTTGAAGAAGGTGCCGTTCGGTGACTGCGCAGGAGCCCGATTGTCCGCTCCACCGTTGATCATGTTTCGCTTCCGTTGAGCTGCCATTGCCTGTTCCTTTGTAGGCGTGTCAAGGTTCCCCTGGCCGGCTGTTGTCATGCCATCTTGGCCCATGTCATACTCGAAAAGTGGACGAAGCAGCGCCTCCACGCCGTATTGGCGCGCAAATTCTACGCCTCTTCGGTAGCTGATCCATGTCCCTTGATATCTGCCATATCCTCCCTGCACCTTCTCGTGCTCGCCAGAAAGAATCTCCTTTTCCAAGACTTTCGTTCGTTTCCCCTTTTCAATCCCTGCCACTTTGAGGATTTGCGTTGCGTTCAACCAGGAGTCTTTTCGTCGTCGCATGACTGCTACTTGGTTCACCTCCATCTCATATACAGAGACGCTTGAGTAGACAGCCTGATTGTACAGAGGGTATCAGCTTAGGAACAGGAAGAAGAGGATGCTATATGAGGCAGTCATACAGTATAGATTTGCGGCTTTTGGCCTGGAGGATAATGCTGCTGCTGGATCATTGGCTTCGGATCATGATGATGCCTCGGTGTCGTCTGTTGACTGTATGTCCCATTGACTTGGCCGTAGCTTGGCATGCCATGGGGCATGATATGTTGGTGTCTTGAAGCGGGCGGCGTGGGGGTTGGTGTAGATGCAACAGATTGAGCGCCGTCAAAGGAGTTGAAGGCGGAATGGGAGTGATTGATGCTGTTCCCTACCCCATCGGTGCTATTCTGTGAGTAGATAGGCGGAGGAGGGTACGAGGGCGAGGCGGCATGCACAGCGGACGCCATGATGTGGTACAATTCGGGATTGCAGCTGACAAGGATGGAAGCGGCTGCACGCGAATCGCGCCTTCTCTGCAGCACTGATCTTTAGCACAATATCCGCAGATATAGACTGGTAAGGGAGGTCATGGCCTAGAAACTTACCAGTGTTTTCGGGACTTGGCAGAAATCGTAGAATATGCAGCAATGCAATACGACAGAGCGTGATGGGAGGACGTGTCGCGAGGGTTCGCGTAGAGTGGTGCCGCTAGCTCAGCCCTAGGGCCAAGATGCCTAAGGTTACAAGATAGAGTGTTACAGGTGACATTTACCATCTATTTGTACATTGACCTAAGATATCCCTCTTCGATTATACCAGAGCCATCTACTTCCTCCTAGAGTGTTGCAGCTCTTCAGTCCATTACGAGACACTCTCGATTGCATCCTAAACATGACCCAATTCCAGCTTAATCAGAGAAGACCTACAGGCTAATACCTAATGCCTTGCCTAAGTAACAAACCATCTCAGCATCGTGTTGAGGGAGCAGTATGCGACTATGGAGACTAGGAAACAGAGCGACCAACGCCCATGCTAGATATGCCGCCGTCAATGACGCCAGCTCACGAGCGGTACTCCATGTCTTCCGCGCCCTCCTTCGCCAATGCACATACCTCCCAGATCCAGCAGCACGTCAATACCTTCACGGCCACGTCGTTTCCAGATTTCGCGACTACCACCCTCGCAGTACCCTCCCCTTCTCCAGCCGGCGCCACAAATCTGCCGCACTAGTCCAGCAACGACTCCCTTCCCTGCTGCGGACAGCCCGCAGAGGCCTCGTTTTTCTATGCCGAGCTAACGATGGGCACATGCGACATCTGGGTAAGATTCTGGCGATGACATACGGGCGCGTTGGAAAACGTCGTCACCAACTCCTAAAGGACCTGAAGATCCCAGACGTCCCCGTCGACCAAGCTGTCATCGAAAAGCTCTCAGAGCCAGGCAACCAAGCTGTACCGCATCCTTCTGAGCAGCTTATGACTTTGATTAAATCGCAGGCCAAGCGACGACTTTCTGATTTCTCACGATCCAATACTCCGCGCCCTAAGCTTGTGATACCTGAAGAGAATAGCTGGGGGCGGCCAATGCCAATCAGAAGAGTTCGGAACTTCAAGAGGAGGTGGTACGCCGAGACGCTCGATAGGATCATGCCGCCTCTGCCTGAAGCTGAATGGAACAGACTACGTATGCGGGCGTCTGGACAGTCGCCGTGGGAGGGTCCTGTTACTCGCAGGAAATGGGCTGGCGGTCCAGACGACAAGGAGCGGCGACATCTGGTTGGAGAGCGCGTCAAAGGCCCTTCAACAGGTAGCTGCAGCAAGCCTCACAATATCACAACCCGCTACATGCGCCGCCTCTGGGCGAAGATCTCAGTGCAATGTCCGCTGATAAAGCCGAATGCGGCGAAGAAGTCGGGGTGGGATGTTTTGTGGGGGGATGTCCGAGGTCATGATACAACACGTTTTGCGCTGGGACATAGGGGCGAAGGTGGGTACGATATGTTTAGAGGTGTAGACGAACGCGGCAGGGTCATTGCTGAAGGCAACAGTGCCGGATGAGTAGTCCTCATATTGAAGTATTGAGTTAGGAAAATGCTCACCTTCTAATTATAATTCACTACTTCATAGGATGTATCCTACATATCTGAGCACCGCGCCGAAGACTCAAGCTTGGAGGGAAATGCATCCATTTAATGAGCAAACACGTGATCAGGACATGCATAGATCTTGAGCAAAAGATGTTCAGCCAATCCTAAGCTGCCACGCCTTGGACGCGCCTCATTCGCTATGACTAGGTACTTTATACCCCTCACGGACTTCACCCCCAACATCATTCAGTCCTTCTACCCGCCGCCACAGCAGAGTCGCGATAGCTCATCGCCATTACCGCCTCACTCGCCACACTACCCTACAAGGTACTGAAGATGACTATGACTCCTCTTGCAAAGCCAACCCCCTCCTTTGATACGATGACCAGCCCAAATGAATATTAAAAGCTCTGGATCTAGCATTCAAGCATGCCTGGGGGTGGGTTCTTAGAACTTGATGGGTGACATCTGTTTGGCCTAAAGGCAGATCTGTAGTCTACATACAACATTCAAGAAATAGCCGTGTGTCTATGCCAGGAATCGCATCTGCACCTCGTCCATCAAGCACGGATTTCCAAACTCGATATCGAACCACTCAACCTTGTGCCCTCCTCCTCCTACGCACCTTGATACAAGCAGACATAGACGGCACGTTTGCATCTCCAAAGACAATGCTCTCAGGTCGCTCGGCAATGGGCTGGATCTCGTAGTTGAGAGTGAGGTAAGCAACCATGAGCTTGAGGTTCTGAACAGCGAACCAGCGGCCGGGACTGCGACCTGTTAGCAAATTTCGATTCGCTTCTTTGCTACCTTGGTTGATAAGTGGCAGTGCCCAACATTGCTGTTAATGGCTTGAGACAAATGCACTGACCAGGCATAACGACCATAACTCCACCCCAGAAACGTGTCGCTGATGTCAGTTGCATCGACCTTCTCGTGGCTGGGAACATTACTCTCGGACCTCATCACCGCGAAGCGAAAAGGGTTATACTCGTACGGCTTATCATACAAATCCCCGTCCATGTGCACAGCTTGCACGGGTACTCCCAGCCAGGTGCCTTGAGGAACATGAGTACCGTTTGGTAAGGTGACACCGTCTGGAGATACCACGGCCCTCAGTAAGCCGCGGGTTTGAATGGAACTGCGTCGTATGCTTTCCCGTATGGCGCTGTCCGTGAGTACCAGCTTCTTCAAGGCTGTCGGATCCGCCCAGTCGCCTTCCGATTTGAATACGCTGGCTGCCTCTGAGCGCAAGCGCTCGTATGCGTCGAGCGAGGGGCCGCTGCTTATGATGTCTAGGAAGAGATTGCTGGCGACTAGGGAAGTTGATGCGAGCGTTGCGAAGGACTGTGGGTCTATACCGTCAGAGAATGGTATGTTTGCGCATTTCCAGATGTCAAAGGTCTAGGACTCACAAGGACCAGAAATTGGTCAGCAACGTATTCCGCGCTCTGATGGGCGATTTCTTTATCCTTCATGATCACTCTCACGCTCTGGGTGAGAAAATCCTGCGATTCGTTCCTCATTGTTGCGTCGTCCTGCTCACACGCGACTTCGTGCATGCGTTGCTTGACGATAGGCGTAAGGACTTTCTTGACTCTGGCTTTGCAGATTCGGAAAGGCAGAATGAGCAGCAAGCCAACGATAGGACGGATGATCGGGGGCAATTGCCCACTAAGAAGGATACCTAGGAACCTGTCAAGCTTGGTTTCAACGCACATCTGGGAAGTACTGATGGAGTACCGATTCCCATCAAAGTTTTGAAATGGGTCAAAACCCGTAAGAAGTGCTGATCACGACATAACGTCAAGCCAAACAAAGCTCGAACCCCAGTTCTATCCCCAATATCTTTGAAAGTCTGCATCAAGTTCACCTCGTGCCAATTCTTCTCGTCCATCCCCATGGCACAGTCGACACTGGCACCCATCTCCTCAGAGACATCAGCTTGGACCTTGTCGAGATTGCGTGTGAGGAAGCGGCCAACGATCTTGTCCATGAAGGCAATAGTTGTCTTGTGATCTACGGTAGACATCATGGCACCCAAAGCGCGCCTCTTACTTCGGACAGGCCATACGGAAAGTACGGTGTCAGATTGCGTCGTGAGCCATTTGATGTAGTCCTGGGGAAGCAGGATCTGCGGTTGGAAGCTGAAGTCCGACACAACGAAAGGTTGACCTTTTTTGCTGAACTAACGGGTGAAGGTGAGATTTTCTATGGCAAGTAAAGATACAGAGAGATCTACCTTCGTATATGCCTCTTGCAAAACCTGTGTACAACTGATTAGCTGTCGCAATGACGCTCGTGTCGTCTTGAAGACTTCGTCTCGAAGGTCGGCCCAAGGGAGGCCGTTAGCGAACGTGGTGTCAACGCTCAAGGAACGAATGATGAGCATGAAAATACAGATGGCTAGGATACCACACAGAAGGGTGACTTCCAGGTGTACGTCCATCTTGGGAGTAAGTGGTGGGAATTATAGAGAAGTGAAAGCTGCTTGAGAAGCAGTGAGGAGACGATGCTTGAAGAAGATCTACAAATGCAAGTGTGAAAGCTGTGTTGTATTGATCAGCGGCGGAGTGAAGCTCCATATTTGCCCCTTGGCTGACTCGAGAATCATGAAACAAGAGACTGGGGTGGAGCCTGGCACCTCTACCCCATCGATTCGTCCATAAATGCACAGCCCTCACAGCCTTCATTCTTCGAAATGCGTCAATCAAGAACGATTATCTATACCACTTCGAGCCCCAAACACTGATACTGCGGGTTGGAATCCCAATCTCGCCAAGTCCCCATCTAATAGATCCGCGCTGCCGTCTGGGATAGACCACAACACACTTGATGTATTTGCTACTATCCCTTTAGTGAAGCAGAGAAGACGGTGGCGCTCAGAGGAGCGGGGTAGAAACTTGCCGATCGTTTCCAATACACGATACGCTCGAAAGAACCTCACACGAGGTGCGGTTGGCTGCATTGTGCAAGGTAATACGCTAAAGTTGACTAATCGCGGATTTTCGCCTCAGTAAGATACACCGCCTAGTAAGTGTATCATGGAGATGCCGGCCGGCCCTTGAGCGAGCCTTATGCCCACCTCCAACGGCACCACATCGGCGCCTTTGAGGAAGCCCAAGGGTGTAGTCATCGCCCAACCCTATCTGACGCCGCCAGGATTCTTTGAAGGGCTTGCCGTTGCGCAGATGAGCTGATTCGGCCCGAGACGCGTTCTCTGTCCGCTGGGTCCTAGTGCTCATGTGAGACTGAAACCCACGTCAGTATCGATCCCCTCATTGCCAATCAAGAGTTTTAAGGCACTTACCCAGTAGCGCCTTTCCCCGCCGTGTACAACATACGGAAGAAGAATTTATTGAATCGAGTAGATGGCTCGGCAGAGCTTATTTTGGCTTCTGAGAAATCGTTGGCTCAAGCTAGCTTTTAGAAGGTCAGCCATTCTGGCTTCAATGCTTCATGATTACGAGCGTTTCGTAAGCGCCCTGTAGAATAAACTGTCTAAATTCAAAGTAGCACAATTAAGTCATTTCCGACCTCTGTATCCACATCTTGACCAAAAGCCGTTCCGTGTGACGCATCGGCAGGAATCGCAGGCTGAATGGAGAGGCGCGACGATCCGATAAAGGTCAACTTAATTCTATGACCTCTCGTCTCACGCAAAACCTCATCATCTCTATGCCGACCGGTTTTCCTACTCGCCATGGAGAGTACCACGGAGTGCAAAAAGCAAAAATCTGAGCCGATCTCGTCAGTCACGCCTTTGGGGCTTTATCAAGCGTGTGGGATTGGGAAGTAAACAAGCTTCCGTCTTAATCGTTCTTGACGCCCGCGTCGGGTATTCACTGCAGGTGTTGGACGGAGAGCAAGGTCATGCGTTCAGAGCATGCATGTTTTATCTTCTTCTGCTTGTTTTCCGCCCGGAGCAGTATATAGATCTTTTGAGGGGGGCACTTTGGAAAGAGATTTTCATGAAAGAAGAGGAGGAAATTCGCCACGCGCTTTAAGTATGTGTATATAGAAACCATGGCATATGACCGCAGTGCAAGAGTGAAATAGACTCAGATAGGACCTCACATGAGATACGTTCGTACGTATGTAGAATGTTTGCGAATTGAAGAAGAAAGTTATACTTATCGGTTGGGAAAGCAGCGATCTGCTTATTCCAGACTCAGCGTTATGTAATTGAGGTATCAACCGGCGAATCGTGATAGAAAGAACAAAGATATCAAAGTGGGTTTCCATGTTGCGTATCCCATGTCCTGGCAGTTGGTAGGATCCAGGAGCTGTTGATCGAACGTCAAAAACTCGCACGGCACAGCTCAACGGTGAAGCGAGCTATAGCGAAAACGTTTCAATTTCACAGTTGCTTTTTGAAAGCAGATGTAAATTCTTATAGCAGAAGGTTTGATTGTGTGCCTTGTTGGTCGCAATGCTTGACTGCCTTGTGAAGAAAGCAATACTTGATGTTCTGCCAAGACATCCTACTACCATTTTATCAGGACAGAGGATAATATTTGCAGAAGTGGTTGGGGCAAGGGGGTCTTCCCGGCTTCTGTGGAGGAGATCTACCTGAACGTGAGATTCGGCGGACTTGATGACACTGTATATTGATAGAAACAGCGATACATGTCATAACATTCAGAAAATATAGCTATAAGACTTGATCCGGCGAAACCCCTCGTTGTCCCACGCATTCCAGTGCCCCTTGCAGCGATCTTCCGATCACTCGTCCAACATCTTCGCATCACCATCGACCTCTTCTCCTTCCATTTTCCCTTCATCTTCTCCTTCTTCAGGAAACATCTCATCATCTTCTCTGAACAGCATCTCGCCGTCCATCCCGAGTCCCGCAAACTCAGCGTCTTCTCCTTGCTGAGCAAGCATACCATCGTCAACAACATGACCCCCTGCATCTTTTTCCACCGGGCTGTCCTTGATGTGATACCTCTTCCTGTGCCATTGCAAGCCATTCGGACTGGTGTAGCTTGCGGAACATCCTGGCTCTTGGCAGAAGTTGTCTGCTATTGGGGTCTCTAGGATGTCCGCCTTCGTAAACCAAGTGTTTCCCCAGCGTTGACCGGTGGTAATCAGCATGGTCATGTGGGTGAGGACGCAGGATCTGGACATGATAAAGTCTCCCGCCCGTTGCCTAAATCGCAGCGCCAGATCCACGTAGACGGCATCACCGCCCTCGAAGTCCATCCATGGGTAAGTGAAAACCCACCCCTTCTTCACGTCTCCAGGGTCCTTGTGAGGGTCGACGTAGGTGTTGATGAGAAGAGCGTGGCCGAGGAAACAGCCCCAGTCATTGGCACCTAAGTCAAGGTGGCGTAGTTTCCCCTCTTTTCGAAGCCTTTGGTAGCATGTGTGATACTGCTCCCATGTTTCCGGGTCCAAAGCTTTGAACCAGCCACTGATGAGCCTGTGCTCCCAGGTGGTCTCGGAAATATAGTCGAAAAGTGCACGCATAGCTTTTGGTGCTGCAGGAAGGGCATCGGCGGATACAATAGGATCCCAGTTGCTGTTATTATGGAATTTCATTTACCAGTACGCGAAGTGCTGCACCATATTAGTAAGTAAAATGGTGAACCATGGGTGTTGAGGTGCATACATAAACTCCGTACTGGCACTTTTTGGCATTCCAACTACTCTTCTCCTTCTTCAAATGGTTGCGGTGCCTCGGGTCTTTGGCCAGATTCGTGGGAGGAGGAAAGAACCGTAAAAGCGTCATAATCACAGCCATGGAGAGCGAGTAAAAGATCTCCCAGAGGGCGCCATATGGTGAGAACATTCCTCGCTTGGTGAACCAGATAAGGTCGACTCCGTCAGACGTTCTCACAAGCGTGCTCTCATCGATGGCGAGTAGTGTTGCGGCGAATTGATGAGCAGCTGCAACGTAGGCCTCGTCGCTTGGTACTTTCTTGACAGTCCCCTTGAAAAAGTAGTCCGAGTGCATATCGGCCTTCAAGACGCGATAACTGCTACAGAAGATACCGGAACCGAATTTCTGGACGCCCTGGTCGACATAGGTAGGTCGGGTAAAAGAGGCCATTTTCCTTGAACGGAGGGTCAAGATCAAGAAGCTGTAGGGATACTGGTTCTCGTGAGATGAATGCTTCAGCTGTTGGTTGAAGGGTAGTGGCTAGATGGAACTGGATAGATACAGAGAAGTCAAGGCCTTGTATTCAGTCCACACAACACCGCGCTAGTTGGTGAGCAGGCGCGTGGTTCAAATGTCTCCCATGGGGCTAGCCCATCCGCGCCAGGATCCAGGAGTAGGTGGCAGGATGGTATCCACGTCCAGGTTCTTCAGGTAAAGAGAAGAAGGCAAGCATGAAGCCTCCCTCCTCCAAAACAGTACCTCCTTCCATAGGGACAGGCTTTTCCCCCAAACGTGGGCGAACAGCCCCAGTGCCTGTCACAGCTTACATTTGGCGATTTTAGTCCTTGAAACGGATCTCGTACCTGTTCCATGTTGTCGAAGGCTTCCAAATGCACCTCTTAGTGTCCTGGACGGACAATCATCTGGGACAAACCACCAATGGCGCCTCAGAGACTCTGGACTGCACAAAAAATGTTCGTTTATGCTTCTGCTTTGAAAGCCCTGGAACTGCAGTCGGTCTTCTGGTCGTTCAGCTTCCAGTCCACAATGGTCCAACGGTCAAGAAACATCATCAATGATCCAACTTGGCAAAGGGAGGGTGCAACATTGCCTCTGACGTTCAGAGCCAGGATCGTACTCATTTGAGCTCGAATAAGAGGTTGTCATCAATATAATGCCTGTTTATGTATATTCGAAGTCGAACCTTGGTAAGCGGTAGCTTCATACTTTCATCCAGAGTCCAAGGAATCGGCTCTGAGTGACCTGGAAAGTCCATATGTCAGTCTCATTTTCAAAAGGACTGTGCTGTCATATGTTTGAGCTCGGCAATCACGGTCTTTCTTTCCGATTGATTGTAAGAGCCTAAGGCTTAGGAGAAAGACAAAGATGGGGAGTTGTGCTACTATACCAGGAATTGAAAAGTTTGTGCCATGAGGAAAACATAATAAAATTAACATCTTTCTTACCTGTCTTACAATGGATGGCACAAATGTGATATATAGGCGCTGGAAACAGCTCATGACCGTTATAGCGTGCAGTGACCGGCCGAAAATGGGACTAATGCCTGGGGTGTCGAACGGCCAAGCTCAACAAAATATAGAGAGCTGTCCGTGGATGTAGCGAAGAATCCAGGAGTATATATGTACTGATACAAAAACTGAAAGTGAGAACAGTGACAATATTGCAAACTCGAATTGCGGGGTTTCCCACGTTACAGCTCAACAAGATTCGGGTAAATGGCCATACAGATGGCGAATGATCCAAAAGAATATATATACAGATCCATGAAATAGAAGATGTTATCAAGACAATACTGCAAGTTCGTCTGGCAACCGGCCAGGTAAAGGCTCTTATAGAAAAGTTCTTCACATGAGGGAGGAGAATACAGCAAGCAGACGTGGCGTTGGCGTGAATAGCAGCATGTGACATGTAACATGTGAATGCAGTGCTCAAGTGATAGCTGTGAGGTGAGGGTTTGTCATGGTCACGTCGATGTGAGGCAAATAGTCCAGGAGTGCGGTAAGAGAGCGATGGTGGGGGTAGAGTAGGATTCGGCGTTGGCGGCTACGAGTAAGCCCAAGCCAAGCGCTGAGGGCAAAGCCCAAATAGGTGACCAACCATCTCTCCTCCGTTCTCGCTTCGTCAATGACAATGACAATGACAACGACATTGTGGAAACCCGATAGAAACTGTGTCGATGATGCAAGTCGAGGTAGTGGAGCTGTCTTGGAACAGCTCTGATCCACGGGTCCTGGCCATCTCGGAAAGTGACGGAGAGACGGCGCCTTCCCTGAAGCTAATCCCTCTCGAACTGACACCACAGTGAATAACAGCTCTGCCTCTATAATAGATACGCCTGCTTGACATAGGTCTCTCGACTAAGCCATACAATAGACTGGAGTGACTGGTGCCTCTCAAGCGAAGTGACGGGTTTGTGTCACTCATGCTCCAACGAGCACCCAAGCGCGCATTACTCTAGACCTGGACCTTCACTGGGAGACCGCCACGATACGAAACCTCGTCACTGTATCGACATTTCACACAAGTAAGAGGCAGCACTTCACTGCTACGGCTAGCGCGACCAGTCACGCCTGTCTATACGGCAAGGAGCTACAAGATTTAGGAGGAAGGAGAGAGCTTACGGTCTTGGAAAAGGAAGGAGGGGACTACAAAGGGGATGGCATGGCTATGACAGGATACGGGTCGGTGACATTTGGCAGGAGGGATGGAGAGGAGCAAATGAACGCGCCTGACACGGGCTGCCGGAGACCTGTTGGTGCAGGCGAGCATAGACTCAAGATCATCATGTCAATATCGCTACAGATTCCGTATACAAGCCAAGCCAATTCATTCCTGCGCTTTGGACTCTGGAATAGGAAAGACGTCGATGGTTGAAAGCTCTGGCTCCCACTGCTAGCCCCACTTTCCAGGATCTAGCAGGTATGCGCACGCTGTAGAGGATGTCCTGGAGCACGTTCGAGACAAGGATGACCAGCGTTAATGCTGTTGGCAGGGAGTAAGATGTGCAGGATATTCGCTGGGCTGGTAGCACTCTGGGGCTAGAGGAAGAAAATAATCGTGCTGGACAGCTACGCGATTTATGGGCCCACGGCTCCAGAGAACTTGCTACAGCGTTGACGGGTAGTTTTCATGCTCACTGGACGCTAATTGATTCACTGCAGGCCAGCGATAAGGTAGCATGGCGGTTGTAAATTTGTAGATGCATCTAAATAGCTAGGCTAGGATTGTGAGATGCATATGGTGACATCTGGAGTTGAAGCAAAGACTACGGGGAGCGAACACAGCTCGCAGTAACCGGACTGTAACAGAGCACACTGTTCCTAATGTGACCCAAACTTGTCGTTCCAGTCCTCCAAATTTTGGACCTCCTTGACTGAAAGGACACTTCTGACCTTCGATAAAGCTGTTGCGATATCGCTCAATGACACCGGACTCATTCGTACTCGTGGCTTGTCGGTAGGGTCGAGTTCTACCAGTTTTCGAACAAGTGCTCTCGGGTTTGGACCTCAAGGATGTACGATCTGTTGGCCGTCTCGTAAAGTATGCTTCCATAAGATCAGCAGTGTCATCAAGCTCGACAATGTGGTAAATTTACTTGCTCAAAACAGTTGGAGCGGACGACTCACGTAATTTTGAATTTCTGAGTTCGCCCATGGCGCGCACAATGTCATCACCCGAAAGCAACCTATGCTTTTTCATGCAGTTCCCGGCGAGTAAGTCCAGCTGAACGGTGGCCGCTGGGGTATCGAGATGCAGGTCGTACATCATGACTACACAACAAGTGCATGACAAGACCACAAGCTACCGACATTCTAATCTTCACTTACCTTTGTGGCATTGCAGCAACTGTAGAGTGAACAACTACGCTCACACCTTATCCTCCCCAAGCTTTCAGCACCGCTACATCTTGAGCAGAGCCAGTGAAAACCTAGTAAGTACAGTAATTGCGTGCACCCAATCTTGCGAGGCCAGAATTATGGCTGTATGCACAGCTGACGTTCCTGTAAAACAGAAGACGTCTGCGCATACCAGAGCCAAGACCGGTGACCTACCTTACAAGGGCTCAAACGCAGCCGATTCCCAACGGCCCATCCTTTGGTTCATCGAAATTCTTTCTTCCTGCCGGTACCCTTCCTCCAGGTAACGAGCGGAGCCGGAAAGGACTATAGGGGTAGAATAAGAGAAGGTTAGTGCTGGGAGAAGGGACGAATAGATGATTCCGACTGTGGGCTCATCTGCCGATTCGAGCATAAAAGTGGCTTGAGAAAGGCTTCCGGCACGACCTATAATTGCCAGAGCTGGCCTTGGCTCAAAGCGCTCGGAGTATTCACTTTCTTTAAACCCCATGTCTTCACCGGCAAACGGTGCATCTCAAATTCAATACCCTCACGCCGCTGTCTATCCGAGCCTCGTTCTGCGACCAGCTTCCCAATCACAACGATTGACTTAGCAACAGACAGAAAACCCCCATGCTTTCACAACAGAATGTTTTCACAACAGAATCGGTAGTCGTTACTACTATCTCGAGCAAAAGCGGCGAGGGCGCTGATCCCTGCAAGTCCTGCAGCTCGTGAGCCTTCTTCGCAATCACACATTCTTGTGCTGATCATCAGTCAAGACAGCCAGAGCGAAAACCTCCAGACCGGCTTTGGTCGGAGGATGTCGTTTGTTCAAATAGCTCAACCTGGGAGAGAGAAGGCCAGGAGGTGAAGATAGACTCAGCAGCGAAGGACCAGACGATTTCGAGAGCGCTCCGGGCCGTTCCATCGCATCAGGCCCTTGCTAGAGCGTGTGCAGTCTAAGGAAATCGCGTAGTGGAGCAACACCTTTACACAGGGTAAAAGATAGGGTCAGCAAAGATTTTGAAGACTGAATCTTACCTTCATGCAGTTAGTTTTTATTTTACCCTAACGCTTTCAAGTAATCTCACGAATACAGCACTAAAATAACACCCTGGTCAATCTAAAATCTTCATGTGCGTTTTGAAGTCTTCAAAACGCACATGAAGCTTGAGCACTTCGTGGCCAATTATTTTATTTAGTGTCCGCGATATTTATCTATTCAAGGTTAGCCTTGAAAGCTAGATCCCTAGTCTGTAGACAAGCTTGGTTTCATACGCCGGCAACTAGACTTCGGGGCTCGTATCGTGAAATCTAGCTTACGATCTTGGGGTAAGCGTTGCATTATTTTGTGAAAACAAGTCTTCAAAATCGTCTTCAAAATCTTTGCTGACCCTATCTAAAGAGAGACCGATGTTGAAAACACGAGGCCCACGGCCGGAATATGAAAAACACGCTATACTCTGCGGAAGCCTGAGGCTTCTGGAAGGTCTGAGAAGGAGAGTTTTATTAGCAGTACCTGAACAGATACCTAAACCAGGGCTTTCTCTATCTGCTAAACGTCCGGTGATTGGGCTATCTTTGCTGATT